CTGCCTTTTTTTTTGCAAATAATCTCATCCTGCCTTTTTTTTTACTCAAAAATCCTGTCCTGCCTATTTTTTTCAAATTTCATCCTAGACCACCACCCGGTTTAATTTTGCCGGGCAGATGTGCAATGACGGAAATGATGACGGCACGTAAATTTCAGAGCCGAACGTCGTGAAGGACGGTCGATCCGAACGGGCTTTTTTCCGATTTTAACCCCCAAATACCCCCCAAAAGATCTTGAAATGAACACATATAATAAACTACGCTGGTCATTACCTCTTTTTGGTATAAAATATTCGTGGATTTTATGTGAAAGAAGAAAACGCGACACTCAATTTCAACTCTATTCATTTAGTAATATAGATACAAGCAGGCATATATGTGATTGAATTTGCCTGTTTCTTTAATCTCCCGACGGTTGATTGCACCAATTAAGGGAGCTACCATTTGATTTTTAAGGGGGCGGGGGCTAGGATGAAAACTTTTGTCCAGCATTTTTTTTAGTTGTAATCTCTGTCCTTCCCGGCTTTTTATTTTTCACTCTATGCGGTCCTGCCTTTTTTTTATTAGTTCATCCTGACTTTTTTTACATAAATTGTCATCTTGCCTTTTTTTTTTTTGCCAAGTTGCTCATCCTGCCTTTTTTTATACTCAAAACTCCTGTCCTGCTTTTTTTTCAAATTTCATCCTAGCCCCTAGTACCTGATGTCACAAACAACAAGTTACATGTACCGGTAATCAATTAAAACGATATCAAAAAGATATCTTCAACATTACACATCAAATTCATACAAAAAAAATCATTCAGAAATTCAACAAAGTGTAACAGAGTGACACATTGGATAAACATTTGTTCTATATATGTACTACTTAGACCACTCGACCACGGTGACCGAGGCCCCCAAGGTTCATATTCATATAACATTAACATGGCCCTGTATACACGTTATATTTGTCATTCGACGTAAAACACCGACCATCATCCCTAATCTTGAAAATCTTAAAGGTAACTGGTAAAGATATAGAATAAATAAACATAGACTTGTATAGATAGTTTTGTACAATGTTAGCCATTTCCTAAGCACTACGTCAAAGATTTTGCATCACACTATACATGTAATTGAAATAGGGTAAAAGTACGAACTTCCATAGGTACTTGGGGTGAAGGAAATTTTGTTTTATCTATATCTATTATCAGTGACCGCTAAGACAGACCAATATCATTTTTTTTAGGCAGTGGCTATTCGTCCGGCTAGCAGGACGAATAGAAAATAATGTCTTTTCGTCCGGCCATCCGGAAGAATAGCTTTTCTCTGCTATTATGCTATTATTCCGGCCATTCATGACCAAGAATAATGAATATGCGTTGGGTAAGTGGTTATTGTAGCATCCAATGGAGAAAATAGTGGCAAACAATGTCCTTCAATGCAAACGTTGGGACTATAATTCATTTGTTGCACATTCTCCGCGCGCACGTTACTGATTATAAACTCAAGATAAAACATAATGGAAATAGTAATAATGAAAAAAAAATAATAATAAAAGAATTATCATGGGAATAAACTCCTCAAGGACCAACTTTGATTGATTTTTCTACTGACTGTTCTATGGAACACGCTGAATCCCCGTTAATATAAAAAGCTTGTCAAATGCCGAGACCAAAAGAAGAATATCAACATCGATTGATATGCAACAAATACACTTCTGAATTATAGTCACTTTACTATTAATTGTACAAAAAAGTTTCCATTCACTAAAACAAATAAAAATGCAAATACATTTTCTTCATAGTGATTTATTTTTTCATTTTAGAGCCTCCTCATGGGGTTTTTGATTATGTGATTACTTGGCCGTTTTTATAGTGATTATTTGATTACCAGACCAAATATTTCATGATTATTTGATTATTTGATCATCTAGGACTGTATTTTTGATTATTTGATTATCTTGTTTGAAAAAAATAATTAATGATTATGTGATTATATTGACAAATCATTTGTCATTATGTGATTACTTGGACTCCCCCATGAGGGGCCTCATTTTAAAGGGAAAAGGGGGCAACAATGCCTCTCCTCTTTTAATATTATACCAATGAATTTCCTGCAAGGTTAGGAGTCCACTGATTTATGATTTCAATGGGCATGTATGATTCCTAGAGAAGATCCTGAATTTATCATTTTCCTTGAAGTTTGAAAAAATAAGAGAAAGGGGTAGGCACATGTTAAATTGTCCCCAAAGAAAGGCTGTGTTTATGCAAGGATTTGTTTATGATAGTAAAAAATGTTTATTGAGAAAAGAAATAAAACATAATGAATACAAAGGGGGATTAAACCCCAACCCAGGTATTCTATTCCCAGTCCAGGCATATCGTAGAATGTTCATATATCTCCGTTGTAGTAGAACTTAGAAATAATGCATCCAAGTATTTAGTCGTTTTCCTGTGAATTGTTTTTATTCGTATTGCCTCCATTGATACAGGTAAATTTACTGACGGAAGTAAACCAGCAATTTCAGAAAATGCGTTTAATTTCACGCTATATGTTCCTCTCAGTTTACGTGCACACGCTATTGTTCTGGAGTCTGTCCTATAGAAGTTTGTTTCTAAAGAAATCACATTCTCTCTAACTTTCTTAAGGACATCACAAGATATACTATGATATATTCCGATCATCATATTCTCAAAACGTCCATTGCATACGCGCGTTTGCAATCCGACACTTCATCCGGGTCAATTTCCTCATCACATGACGCTGTTATATTGAATATTTACGCATGCTCAAACGGATGGCCGGACAAATAGAGATTTTTAACTATTCTTCCGGCTAGCCGGACAAATAGACACTCCGTTTTTTTTTATCTATGATAATTTTGCAATAATGCAGATTTGTTATGATTATTTATTATAATCAGTTTCCAGGAAACTTGGGAAATTTTTACAAATAATTGTTTTTATCTATATATAAGTGTACAAATCCTAGATATAAGATAACCCTATATCATGTAAAACTATATGATACACTGTTGATCCGTATACTTCAGTGAACTAGCTTTCACCTAGGTGCACTGTTTCCTGATTTCTTTTAATAGAGAAAGTGCAGCAAATTGGTTATGCAATTATATGGAAAGCAGATTCGGAGAACAAGAGAAAAAGAACAATTTACTGTTTATATTTGAGGTAAAAATGAAATTTTCTTTTTTATCTATTTTCATAAAAATAAATGTGTAACCTAAGATTGACTTATTACATTTTGTCAAATATATTTAGAAGCATAATGCAATTTAGCTTTTGTTGTTGTTGCATTGTAACGTTATCTGTTCAAAATGAATCAAATCGAACAATCCTGTAACATGTCATGAAACTGATGTGTGCTAATTTTTGCTAAAATAAAACAGAATTGTTATGAACTGCATCTTTTGTGCTGATTCACTTCTTGATATCTAGCATGGATATGACTAAAAGGATGTGGTATATCCAACCCAGCCAATCTAATTAAAATATAGATCTCTCGTTATGGCCTGCAAATCTTTTTATAAAAAATAATAAGTTTATTTGTAATTTGGTACGATTGACGTTCATTTCGTCTGCATAATACTCGAAGCAAAACTGATAGAGGCGAAATAAAAGACGAAGTTGAGCATTTTAAAACGAAAATTCCGAAAAGTTTTGTAAAATCAGGCTAAGGCAATCTGGGACTGGGGTAGAAAAGTAGAAAAGTCATCGTGATTCGAATAATTCAACATTTTATAAATAGACTAAGTGTCACAATCCCATTGACGTGTACCCAACATCTTTATTTATTCCTATTTTTAAAGTTATATGCTCTATTATAATGCCGTCAATAGTCGGGTTATAATTCCGAATTAAGGATGTTCTCTCCTCTTGTTTTTGACTTTTGCCAGATATTCGGAATCCTCTGGTTTTATCCATGTAGTGCCATTACAAAAATTTTCCCACTTACCCCTACTTTTCTTTTCATAATTTTATTACACATAGTTTAAAATGCCCTATTTGAAAATGCTATAAAATCCTTGTTATTTTTTGATTTTTTTTTAAGAAAATGTTAATTGTAAGAAAAGTCTAGAGAGAATTATTTCCTGCCAAATTTTCAATGGCTTATATCTCGAAAAAAAGCACACGGACCCTAAATTTTTTTCTGATTTTTTAGTTCCTTTATGTATATACTATCAATTTATAACAGTCTTTTAAAAAGCTTGGTATTTTGAAACAGAGTAGCGAACATCCTTAATTAATAAACTGATTAATTTCATAATTCCCTTTTGCTACACACACACAAAATAAATAAAACACAATTGCTTGTCCTTTTTTTGTTAATAGACTGTTTAATTTCATAATTCATTCATTTTTTTAACACAAAAAAATAATAATAAACACAAGAAAATTACTCTTCCTTTTTAAATTGATTGTTCAAACTAGACAATTACTATTTGGAGAAGATACGATCTTGATAACATGAATTAAAGTCACTGCTATCAATATAACAACTTGAAAAGGATAATAAATAGAACCCACCAAGGAATCACCAAGGAATTACGGAATCATATAAAAAGATAGATTGCAACTACTTCTAACGTCATTTGATATCATGTAGTTAAACTGTTTGCTGTTGTTCATTACACATCATTTGCACTAAGGGGAGGGGACACCACACCTGCATAATTATTAATACTTATTTTCTTACTACAAATGATATGTTTTGATATTTCATATAATTTTTTGCCTTGTATATAATTTTGTATTTTTCATATGCCTTCAATCCCTCGGGGTATTATACATTTGCATTTCTTTAAAAAAATATTCGGAATTAAACATTATTGTAATAAAACGGTGATTCTGTTGTCATATGGCTGACATGGTTGATGCTATGCTAGCAATTATCGATATTTCATTTAGTAAGTCAGTACAGCTGCACTGATCTATAATTATTAATATACATTTGACATAGAGTCAGCCACCTGTGAAAGTATAATCTGTCACGAAGTAGCATTTAAACAGAAGTATGTCGGAATGACTATAAATAGTTATTTTGTATACATATAAACACAAAAATGACGTATTTCCTTGGATATCCTGTGTTATTATTATTTCCGTTTGCTGAAAACTATAACAATGATCGGTAAGTTATTTTTAAAAACCATGTGTGTATGTTGTTATACAATAATCTGTTCGTGAGACATAGTTATAACGAGTGATGTATGTATTATAGCTCTGTATTTAGAAATTATTTCAATGGCAATGAATTCCGGCGAATAATCTTCAATAATTGAAGGATCGCTAGAAACTTAAAACTTAAAGAAGAACTGTTGACGAGTTATTAATTATCAATATTATATCTAGGATAAATGCACGTTATGTACTGCCGATCGATATTCACAATTATTAAGGGGAAGCAACCCTTACTTATTTTGTACTGTTCTAACGACACACATAATGTACATTTCCCCCCCTATATACATACATAATTAAGGGTCGAGATGGTGGATGGGGGTCTTGATATGTATTCTGTAATTTTTAGACCATTTTCTATATTCAGTATGGATCAGTATGGTCAATATTTATCCTTATTCTGTAAAATCTTCGTTTTCAAGCCTTAATTCATATAATATATAAAAACTTCCTGTTACTAATACATGTAAGAGGGTCTGGATGGGGTCCTTCATTTCTGTATTCTTCTATTTTTATGCCATTTTTCTCTATTCTGTATACTTTTTGTCCATTATTCTCTATTCATTATATTTTATCTACTCATTATTTTCTATTCTTTATTTTTTTATCCACATTTTTTTCTCTATTCTTTATAATTATTGTTCATTATTCTGTATTCTGTAAACCCCCACCATACCCATCCACACCTTCATATACAATTTTTTTTATATGACATATCTTCTTCTTGTCTGTTTCAACCACCAGCAGGTTGGAAGTATTGATGAGTGATGGTTGCTTGCGTGTACTCCGCGAATCGTGTCTTAAATAGAGTTTACCTTCAACTCGACGACATAAAAGGGGACGAAGTTCCCGAAAACAGTATAGATACCACAGAGCGGAGCGAGGCGACATTTTTTTTTACGAGTGTATGCTAAAATGATATGTTTACCAATCAAAGGGGGTATTGCGCGCGTACTCTTAATATGTTAAAAGTTGGGATGTGGCGACCATACACCCCCTTCCGCAACCCACCCCGTGAATCCGTCACTACACTACATAAAACCACCATTTATCCATTTCAATTAATATCTTATTAAAACCAAACACGGAAAAATTTAAGTTATTTTAATTTTTTTTGTAATAATTTGGATATTCACTGTATTGGATAATGAGCAGGAGATAATTTTACATAAGCTATATTTGATAATATTTGATATGTGAAATGAGGTACTAGTATTGAGAAGATGGATATCATACCTAGGTCAGTTTTACAACAGAAACTGTAGTTAGCCGACATTAGAGAAAATTGGAATCGGACAGTTAGAAATCGCAGAATAAAAACCCTAAATTTTATCAATTTACATCACTCAATAAAGTTTGAGAACCACACAGACAAGTATGCAGTGGCAATTTGTATAATTATTTGTTCTGATAATAAAAATCCGTTCACCTTGACTAGATTTTATCTTTGGTAATAGCCTAACTGTTCAAAAATATCCAAAAATTGTCTATCAATCAATTATTACACGAAGGGAGAAGATTTAGATATGTTTAATATTTATTGGCAGTGAAAAAAAAAAAAAATATCCACACTTATTTATGAGGCACGGATTTTGTCAAAACTATTGTATTTAAGGAGATTCTGAAATAACTCATGACATCCATAATTCAAATTCAGTATATCCATAAATCATGGATGACTTCCCCTATTATTTCAGGACCTCTATAATTCGATTTTAGGAATCATGGATGTCCTGAATCAAATTTTAGAGGTCATGCAATATTGCAGGATATCATGAAATCGAATTATGGAGGTCCTGAAAAATTTTAGGATATTGTTTATGATTATTTTGGATATATTTTGATATTTGCAACAACAAATCATGATTTCCTTAGATACAATATTTTTGGTTAAATCCGTGCCTCATATTCATTATGATGAAAGAGAGGATGTAGTTACCAAAGAGGTATTCTAATTCAAAAGTCGAAACGAACTGACAATGCCATGGCAAAAAATGAAAAACAACAAAGAGACAAACAAGTTTACAAAACACAACAGAAGCAACTGAAGACTGAGTAATACAAAACAATCCGATCCCAAAAACCCGATACAATGTTGCTACTACTATCTCAAAGTGAATACATGAAGCTGAGATACGGAAAATGTAATTAATGATTTAATTTAAAACACTGTTAAGCTCACCTGGCCCTATAGGCCAACTATTGCCACCACTTATCGTCCTATATCGGTCAGAGTCGCCATTAAGTATTTGAAAAAATATTCTCCTTTGAAACAAATGGACCAATGTCTACCAAACTTGGGTTGAATATCAGCAGGTTATCTAGTGAAGACTATGTTTTTTTTTTGTGCCTACCAATCAACCAATGTCTTGCATGACTGAAAATAGAGCTCGTGTAAAGGTAAGATGCAAATACTTGTGGAATATCTGGAAAACCATGAGTGATAAGAAATTTTACAGGGGCAAAAGTCTCATAATGTTAAAACCTTCCTATATAATCTCTCCTCTCCTCCCACAACTTATCAGACTACTTTCTATAGGAGTTGTTGTCCTTAAAAGATGATTGTTACCCAATTTTGCCATTTTCGCAAACAAATTTTAAGTAAGTAGAAGTAGAAGGAAAGAGAAACTTTAGTTAACTATGATTATCAAATTATGATCCACAAATAAGTCTACATGACCGAAATCATCAATCGACTACTTATATTATAGGAGTTATTACAGTAACTCATAAATGTAAATGAATATGTAAAGCAATATTGAAAAATGCGTTTTGCCAATTTGTTAAATTTATTAAAAAAAGAAAGAGAAATTTTCAACCACAAAATAATCAGCAAATCAATATCTACAAATAATTCAGGTGTAACACCACTAATTCAGACCCGGTCAGAAAGCAGAAAGTAGTACATATTTAACACAAAATAGTTCCTACGCATGGGTATAACTTTCAAAATATGTAGAATATTTAGGTAATTTCGGTATCAAATGAAAGCTGAATGACTGGTGATCATTGTAGAACACTTTTTCAATATAACTTTGAATAATAAAAAAATTGCATGAAATTTAAAAAAAAGGGTACATTTTGCCTGTTTGTCAGATCTGAAGTACCTGTTTTGGTACATCCGAAGTTCCGGGAACCAGTTCTTTCTTATATGCCATTAAAGGTATGTTGATTTTTTCAGTACAAGACACCATAAAGTGTTGCTTTGACATGCAATGATTGTCACTTTATTTGAACTTAAGACAAAAGAGCTGAGTCTGCTTGAAATTGAGGAATTTAACATAGAAAGTAATGGGGCCATGCATAAGTGGTGTACTTCCTTCAGTGTCACTGAGCATTTTCAATTGTACATTAGTTGATGCCCTTGAATGGCAATGTTTATCTTTTCATATGCAGTTTTAGCTATATTCTTGAAAAGTATGATGCATAAGAGAATATCTGAACAACAAAATTGATCAGCAAGATATTTACGAGCGAGTAAATCAGGATACACAAAATTATCAATTAACTCACTCCTAATAAATATTCAGTCCCTTAAATGACGATTTTTATACTTGAAACTATAACATACAGACAGAAACTGAAGATGACAAAAAAGATATAAAGAGGCATCTATTGTCGAAGTACGCGTTTGGTGCATTTAACGTTTGAACGGTAATAATGTTAGGACCACTGGGTCGATACCTATGCTGGTGGACTGTTAGTGCCTGAGGGTATCAAAAGCCCAGTAAACATTACTTCGACCCCCCACTCTACTTCGGTATTCGTATGAAAATACGGATATTGTTTTACTGAAATTTGTTGTTAATCAAATTTTGGAAATTATTCTAAATAAAGGGATATATCTCTCATATATACAATGTAGCTTTGATTCCTTGTTTGGCTTTACTTTTGGTCAGTTTCGATTTTATCAGCTCTTCAACGTTTGTATTAGTTTCGGATTTTAAAATATTTTTCCATCGAACATCATTGAAGAAATATAAAATTGTCGAAAAGCGTATATATTGCGGTAAACTTGGTGCCGTTAATTTTGTTATCAGTGTCAACGTATATTTGTTCCGCCTAGCAGTTGTTCCCCTGGATACTTTGTTATTAACAGTGCCATAGTATCTGTTTCTGTTGGAGCACACATTCTATACCTTTTATTCCGTTAGGAACAAACGCTGTAATATTTGTTTCAGTCGATATAATATTACATGATATTTCTTTTCTATTTGGAACTTCTATCTCACGGTACTATAAGGAGTTGTTGGCTTTAAATGACTATTTTCATTCCATTCTTTGCAATTTTGTATACTTTCGTTATAACTATAAAAAGAGAATCTGATAAGCATAAGATGAACAACAGCCACAAAAGCACTGTTCCGTTGCTTGCGGATTGTTACATGTACGGTAGCATAGTAGTTTTGTGAAAATATCATTTCTTTCCGTTTAAACAAACAGCAAACAAAATAACTACTATAGTGCTGATCTATGATTATAAATAAAGTTTCAAAGGTCATGTGCATCCCCCGGTTATCCATTTTCTTAATTACATTGGTGTTTCGTGGTAGCGTGTTCCACGACTGGTTCAAATCATATATGTCATGTATATTGTGCAGGGATTTGCTGCTCCTCTGCTAAACATGGTGCATTGAGGATGATTAAAACACTGGGTCAGCGCATGGATCATCATACCATGCATACCTCACAGGGTCACTCACCTGGTGAAAATATGACATTTTGATAATAATTTTCACCTAAATTGCGCAATCAGTCATGTTTGCTTTTTGTAGTTCTTATCAAGTTTATCAAATATGCAGTTCTTTCTTTTAATGTCATTCGATTTTGACCAATCAGAAACATCCCTTAAAGTTAATAGTATAATTTTTATAGTATTGCTTGTGTTGTCGTGCGCTTCTAAATTTGATGTGTTCTGTTTTGAAACAAATAAAAGCTTCTTCTTTTTTTCGTTTTAATATGATATTCCATATTCTACATCCTAAACAATAAATGGTTTTTCGTTGTTAGTAATGTGTCATTACGGTTGCTATGGTTACTTAACATTGAGTTAGTATTATATTTCTATGTAAATGATTTGTATACCTGCAAAAAATGTTCGACAATAGAAAAGTAAACATTTTAGCCTCTATGACGGGAGTCAAAAACTATTCCATTGAATAGAACACAAGTTCAACCATTTGCAATTGAACTTATACTAAAGTCAGCCTGGTTCTTAAATTGGAATAATTTTCTGTTTCAGGGGTTTCGGCAATTGACACCGAAAATGACGAGTTAGTAAAAGATCTAGTGGAGAAATGAATGTAAGTTATTCAAAATCTGTAAACTTATTGAAACATATTTTGTTAAATAGACATGAAGTCCAACAAAAAAATAATATGTCGCAAAACCTTTAAAAACGTACCATCATAGCAATAATGATAACAAGGAAAACATCGTCTTGAAAACAAAACTATTAGGTGGTGGCTATTTAACGTTCAGCGACAAATATCATATGCGAATTTAGGACTAGACATATCAGTGTCACATTTTTTTTTAATTACGTTTTGAAAAAGGATGAAAAATAAAAAGAGAGCAATCAAGACAGACTTTACACTATTGCAAAAATTCCCGGGATAAAAAATCCACATAAAAGTAGCAGCGCGTACAATACCAAAACCAGTCATAAATGCAGATGCTTCGGAAGAATAGACAATTCCGGCAATGCTAGTAACTCCTTTGTTAGATCTTTCGTTGGCGAATTGAAACAGTGTACGAGTCAGTAACATACAAATATCACAAGATGAAAATGGCAACCACTGGAACATAGTCACTTTCTGTCGATAATACCCATTATTAAAATTGTGAAAAAATAATTCCTTTTAGATAGCGCTCAAAATTTCCTTTATTCTATGACATGCACTTGTGTAATAACAAAATTGCGCACCAAGCTGTAAAAACTTATTGAAGCTTTTATCTGTAAAGCCGTAAAAATACATAGCGGAATGTATTGTCTTAACGAATCACAATTTATATTACTATCTGATGAATTTATATGCCTTTTTCGTAATCAAGAAAAGCATGGAATTCGTGAAAGTATTTTGGGCTTACAGATGATACATGCACAGACAATTGTCTAAGTTGTTGAAGACACTACTTTAACCTCTATAGATGCCATTGTGAGGCTGAAAAATACGTTTACACAACACACACCAACACTTTTCTATATTTTAGATATTCTACCGGCTGCATATAAAAGTAGAGGAGTTTTTCGGAGGTTTATTTGAAAAGCATGGACGTTTTGTTGCCAGACATCCATGGACGGTTATCATATGCGTGGCTTTAATAGATATAGGACTAGGTTTCGGTCTTCTCAAGATTAAGACGGATAACAGTATAGAACAGTATGCCCCGAAAGACAGCACAGCGAGTAAACATAGGGAAGAGGTATGCACATTTACCATATGAATATTTATTCTGCACTATTAATGCAGTCAAAATGAACTGACGGTAAAAAGTCGGACACAATATTCTGACTCCAAGCCGACCTATTGTGTTTGCTCTTACTCCTTAATGCCGAGTGATAAGCGGAGAAACACCAAATACCAATTTTAAAGTCTTTGGTTTGACCCGGCCGGGGTTTGAACCAAATACCTCCCGTACTCTAAAAGTTACTTAAGTTGCTTTATACATATATTACATTTGAAAGACTTCAAACATATCACAGTATACAATATTAAACAACACCCTGTCTCGTTTGAATATTTTTTAGCATGCATGTCCTCAGAGTTGTTTTTAAAGTACATCGAAGTATGTGTAAATTTTAGAATTAAAGCATGACACATACTTTCTCAAACGACGTATTATTTATTTTTTGAATTTCTTTACAAATAAAGTCGTTTAGATCTGATATGAAATAAGAGAACATTACAACATTTTTTTGTACCTAAATCCTTTTTGCCTTAAATGAATATACTCGTTTAAGCACACGGATATCTATTGATCACAATTTCAATTAAACACACGACTGCCCATTTATGACATACATGTAACTATACAATAATTGTTAAGTTTCATTAGGAATACATTGTATATTATTGACTGCAATAAAACATTAAAATTTCGCCAACGCATTATTGACTACAAGAATAAACAAAATCTGTGTTTATATGCATTTTTTCATAGTTTGAAAACAGTTCTTGTCTGTATGTCTTCTGTTTAAGTATGTGATAAAACTATCATAACATGTCATTCGTTCATGATATCATCCCTCGAGCCTTTGGGCTCTTGGTCTGATATCATGACCTAGGACCGATAAAGGGTCTGATATGAAAATTACCATGTAATACATGTAATCTGTTCTTCTCATACGACTCGATGAGAAAACTTAGTAGTAAATTGAGATGGAAAATAATCACACGTAAAAATCAAAGAACAATTTAAGAAAATGTTCTTGTATAAAACGTCCTTCAATATAACCATACATGTAAACAATTTAGCTTCATCGAACATTATGTGGATCATATAATTATCCTTACCGGCAGGCGTGTTCAATTAGCAATTCTTAAATCCTAACCATATTGTTTTTTTATTGTTCAAGGTGTACAGCATGTTCCCAAATGTTGACACAGCAAACAACTTTTACCAACATAGTTTAATATCCTACAGCCAGTATGCTATAGTTATTGCTCAAAGAAAAGATGGCAGCAACATTGTTGATTTATCCAGTTTAAGTGATGTAGAGTCTCTATACAATTACAGCGTATCCATTTCTATAAATTCAAGTGGATCCACGTATAAGTACAATGATGTATGCGCCCGACGATTTTCATCGTGTGTGATAGATGGCAATTACATTTTCAGTAGTGATTTTAAGAATGACCTTTCTACCGGAAACATATCATATCCTTCATATACAACTTCCGGTCAGACGTTTAACATTAGAGACACTTTTGGAAAATCTGTAGCTAGTGGCGGTTTTCTTGAATCTGCAGCTGCAATCAGGCTTACATTCTCTGTGGCTGGAAACAGTATATCTGATGACTGGCAAGATGCATTTATAAATAAAATGAAGTCCTATTCTAGTAATACTCTAAACATAGATTTTGCTCACGGAAGTAGTCTTGATGAAGAACTGAATGCTAACATATCTGGTGATATAACCCTTTTTATAGTGACCTTCAGCTTGATGATCACATTTTCTGGATTAGTATTATTTGGTGGAAATTCGGTATCAAACAGATGGTTTCTAGGCACAGCAGGGGTTGTTTCAACAGCTCTTGCAATTGTTGCAGCGTTAGGATTTGTCTGTCTTTGTGGAGTATTGTTTGCCAGTATTGTTGGGACAATGCCGTTTTTAGTCATAGGCAAGTATTCTAGACATGTTCATTGTGTATTTTTTGAATGATTGCCATTGATGGACATTGATGAACGTTTACGTCATTTGGTCTCTGGTAGAGAATTATCCTTTTGCAATGCGTTTTGATGAACAGTGAATTGCTGATTGATTATTTAAAACCGTTGTGAAAGCAACACGTTATATATCACAAATAATGATATAGCATCCGTTAACATATTTGTTCTGCATCATGTTTTGTTCTTCTGTTTTTGTGACAACCTGTTTATTTCGAATATTTCCCTTAGTATTCGGAAAAGCAATTATAATATAAATGGCTTTATTATACTTCACGTTAAAATGCCAGATTTTGATTGGCTAATACGAGGTAGACATTTTACTCTATCCCATGGCTGAGCGGGAGACAATTTTTTGAATGTCACCCTCTCGTGTAGACCAATCAAAAATCGATAATTTAAAGAACAATGAATTGAATTTACATCAAATAATTAATTGCAATGCTCAATTTCTACGTTTTGGCTCAGAATTTTTTCATAGAATGTCAAAATAAAAAAAAACCCATCTTGCTTCACTTCTGTTAATTTTTCTAATATCTGTAACGTTGTTATGTACGTGACGTCATGGTAAAATACTTTAAATTTAAAATTCAACAGTAAAAGACAATAATGATAGGACATTCAGTATAATAGATTAAATAACACATAGCTGAGAGGTTGATAGAGCAGATTGGTACCCCTCGAAAAAACATTGTCAACCTTGGCTTCGCCTCAGTTGACAATATTTTCTCGGGGTAACAATCTGCTCTATCACCCTCTCAGCTATGTGTTATTTATATATTGTCATAAAAAGGGGGCAATATTATCTAAACATTAGATTGAATAGTAATCAACCTTCACTCCGTCCTTCATCCTTTCAAATATTTTTTATCCAAATTTTAGTGAATTGCTTTCGAAATCATGAAAATACATGTATCATTAAACATTTTATTAGACTGATGATATGGTATCACACAACACAATAGTTCAATTCAATAAACAATTTTAAGAAGTGTCAAGGTAGAAATTCTAAAAATGTAATAGCATAAAATTAACCCTAAACTAGTAGCTCATAATATAACACACAATTATGTTTAGGGTACGGGTGGGCGGGTTAAAATTTTTCTCTTAAATCTATCGAAATTGTTGATCGACGTTTCAACTCGAAATCAAATACACTGTATATAAAAGAACTAAGTGTTTACCGTGTGAGAACCAATCTTGAAGTGAATATTGCAGGTATGTAATTTAACAGGTAAATGCAAGGGAGTAGATTTCAACATGTTCAACTGATGATTCAATTAGAAAATGTATAACAAAACTTTGGTAAACAATTTTGAAACAGTGAGGTAAAAAAAATCTTGCAAGAATGTAAAATTCTTTCTCAGTAATTAATCATTTTTATTAGAATAAAAATTTCCAAATGATAGAAATATCATTTGAATGCAGCTCTACTTAGACAAAAAAAATCATACCGGACCTGCGTTACCACTTGCATGCTTAAAATGGGTCGGTAGGTAGACAAGTTTTTATCTGTTTTCAACAGCGACAAACAGTTTGATAAAATAATGGTTGTTAAAATCTACAATGTTATAAGGATAGGCACTTGAAATTGGCCATGGGTAGATCGGGTTAGCTGAAACGCAAACACGTTTTGATGTCTTAATGCCAACATTAAGGATTTAATCATGTCAGGTTTAGGATTTTTTTTCAGATGTTCGAACTCCTTGTTTATTTCCCTACGATACAGGGTAAAATATTTTGCCCCATATCACCCACTTTTCTTTTCATTGAGGGACTTCAATAGTTCATTAGCTCAAAAAAAAGTCATCACTAAAATTTAAGCAGATCATAGATTTTTTTCTTACGATTTGAGACCCAAATAGTGCCAATGCTAAACATGCTAAATATAAAGTAAAAGTCCAAGTCAGCCTTTTCCCGCCATTTTTTTTAATTATATATCTCAATGTTCCATAAACCTATCAATATCTTTAGCTTATTTTGTTCATTAACTAGTGCTCTTCTGATTTATAAATATCAATTTTAAATTCGTGTATTTAATTTGATCTAACTCCATCCTTAAGAATATGTTTTTTTTTATTTTACAGGGATCGGTGTCGACGATATGTTCATTCTATTGTCTGGTTTAGCACAGACTTCAAACATTGATGATATTGAAACACGTATTGGTAAGACCATGCGCACTAGCGGTATTGCTGTAACTATCACATCACTTACTGACGTCATCGCTTTCTGTGCAGGTGCTTCGTCACTTTTTCCAGCAGTAAAACATTTCTCCTTATATACAGGTATGAATTTTTAAAAACGAATATAAATTATGGATGTTCGCTACTCTGTTTAAAAAAACAAGCTTTTTAAAAGACTGTTATTAATTGATAGTATGTAAATAAAGGGACTAAAAAAGCAGAAAAAATTAAGGGTCCGTGCGCTTGTTTTCGAGATATATAAGCCATTGAAAATTTGGCGGGAAATGATTCTCTCTAGATTTTTCATACATTTAACATTTGCACCTTTCGTCTTTCAAAAACAATTAAAAATAACAAGGATATTATAGGATTTTCAAATATGGCTTTTTAAAATATATGTAATAAAGTTATGAAAAGAAAAGTAAGGGTTATAATGGGGAATTTTTTAGATGCACTACATGGATAAAACCAGAGGATTCCGAATATCTGACAAAATTTTAAAATTAGAGGAGCGAACATCCTTAAGAGGCGGAAGAAACAAAGGAGATTTTCAAAAATCATAAATCGGAGAGAAATTGACAACGTCATGGCAAAAAAAAACCCAGAAATACGAGGAAAAGACAAACACGTCTACAAATCACCACATTTAAAACAAAAGACTTAGCAACACGGACCACACCAAAAACTGTGCCTACAAATTTCAATTGATAATTGATAACTCACAAAACACTTCATCCCCGAAAGAAAAAAACAACAATACTTCGTTTCTCTAAAAGAGCGTAGTATTATTATGATTTGACTTAGCAATAACACCGATCGAACTTTAATTCTCAGACTGGTAAACTATTTATTCAAACAGATAAGACTTAGTAAAGAATGGTAAAGATTGGTTCACTTGCAGTGATTAATTCAATAAAATTCAATCACTAGTATTGATATATAAAACATTGATGGAGCAACGGTCAGATCTTCGTTGCTCCTGTGGGAAGTAAATCATGCATATTTATGGCGGCATGACAAATCTGTATCTGCTAGTGTATGATAAGCTTACCAAGGTCAAGCTCAAAGCAGGGTAAGTACATATGTCTCAAAAACATATTTTTACATTAATATTTACGTAACATTGCGATTTTACGACAATCTAATCAAAATACAGAGCCTGTCAAGGATTGATCTCACAATGCTCCGTTCTACATTCTGTTTGAATGTCCTTTCGGGATCCTCTGGAATTGTCACCACTTGAAAAACAAAATTCTGATGTACAACATACTTTAAATAGTGAATAAAGATAAACAAAATATTTTAAAATCCTATCAATTAAGAAAAGAATGATGTAAATGACAAAATCTAAAATCAGTGTTATCTTGTTTCAGGAACCGCCATTTTGTTTTGTTATTTGAACTATATGACGTTTTTCGTTAGCTGTATGACTTTAAATGAGAAACGAGTTTCACAGAATAGACATTTCTTTACATGTCGACGAGTTAAAACTAAAAATACCATGATGAGAGAGGAAAAGTCAAAGGCTTTAATTCTATGCTGTTCTGGATCACCATCAAAACATCGAGATGAAGTTGAAGGTCCGCTTGAGAAGTATCCAAAAAAGCTTCTGAAGATAATTTTGCGTTTTACTCCTTCAAAAATTATAATTTTACTTCTATTTGCTGGATTTGTAGGCATATCAATATTTGGAGCAGTCCATTTCAAAGAAGGGTTAGATTTGAAAGATTTAGTGTCATCAGACTCTTACTTCTACAGTTTCCAGGAATCTTTGACAGCATTTTATGATCAAGGTATAACTATCGGCTTGTATGTAAAGTCAGATGTTGATTACAGATCAAGTGAGACACTGGATGCTATAAATAGTTTACGAGATAATCTTCAGAAAGATCCCGATATAAGCGACACATTTTTCATTTCATGGTTACATGCCTATATAAGTTCAACTCACTTCGATAATTCATCGAATTCGAATTTCGTCGCCGGGCTACAGGCTTTTTCAGCAACGACAGAAGGAAATATGTATCTCAACGATGTTTCTTTTGACGATGGGAATATATCCGCTTCTCGATTTCATATTTTAACTGAAAGTATTGTATCGTCCGGTGGTCAAGGTGACATGATGTTACGGGTACGAGATATCGCAGGTAATTCACCGTTACCGGTTTTCCCCTACGCGGGAACATTTATTTACATGGAAGGATTTGTAGCTATATACTCTCAAACATTACAAACTATTGGTATTTGCGTAGCTGCAGTTTTCGTCGTCACCTCCGTATTCCTTCCACTACCGGTGATGATTCTTTTCATTACAATAACTGTTATACTAATTATGGTATCGATTTTAGGCTTTATGCATTTTTGGGGACTGACTCTCAGTTCTGTAACAATGATTCACATTATAATGTGTATTGGATTTTGTGTAGACTTTGCTACCCATATTTGTCACGCATTTGCACAGGCAGAAAGCACAAATCGAGACGACCGCGTAGGCATGGCCTTAGACACAGCTGGAGGTCCAATTTTGAATGGTGCTCTTTCAACAGTTATTGGGGTGATAATGCTTGCCCCGTCTAAGTCGTTCATCTTTTTCTCTTTTTTTAAGGTCATGTTCATGGTTATGTCGTTTGGTCTGATTTATTCAATTTTTCTTCTGCCAGTTTTACTTTCCTTTTTCGGACCAAAATATGTAACAAAACGGTCTGCCATAAAGGACGAGAGGTCAGTGGATACTGAGATTGGAATGTTAAGAAATTCAAAATGTTCAAATGGGAACGAACATACAAAAGATACAGTTATAACGAAGAAAGAATCAGAAATAAACATAAGTCAAGGGGACAATACAGAAAAGGCTTCTAGGACCAAGAAAAAGAAGAAAAAGAAAAAAAAGAAGAAAAGAAGAAAACACGAGGAAGATCAAACCGAAGAGGAAGAAGGAAGGAATGAAAGCAGTCGGAGAACAACAATAGACTTGCCACCTTTAAAATTACACACGAAAAATGAAATATCTCATGCAAATAGATCATTCACAAATGATGAACCTGTAGTCTGATATTCAAAGTATTCTAGCCGTCAAGATCCTTTCGAGCGTACTACAGTTTTGAAATGCACAGTTTAAGACGATATAAAGATTTAGATTTTGTATAAAATCTTTTTTTGTTGTTGAAGATTCTGTTTGTGTTGTGAGATTGTTGTTTCATTTACGTATACCCCTGTTTGTGTTGTGAGATAATTGTCTCATTTGCGTATACCCCATAACTACTTTTATTCATATCTTAAATTTAAATCGCAAAATCCTGAAACATTCGACTCAATGTTTTTTGTATAAAATGTATTGACCACGTGCTACTTTTTTAATTGTAAACCACAGTCATTTATTACTGGTTTAGATAGGGGTTATAGATGTAATAGTAACACGTTTCATATTATTGAGATGTGTGCGTCCGATTTTTTTTTGTTTTTGTTTTGTTTTTTGCCTTCATCAGAACGCTCGAACAACCCAAAAAATAAAATATAGGATGTATAAGTACTTATGTTACTATGTGACTATAACTAAAAAGAAAAACCAAAACTTTCTATGGTCGTCAACTTTATATAACAGTTCTGTTTAGTACATTTTGTTTTTATGCATGTAAAGACAATCATATTATTTTTTTTTTTGAAGTCGAGCTGCCGTTGTTTATGGTTATTGATGTTATTGTTATGGTAATAGTCATGACCTTTGCAAGCCCTCTCTTAGGTATGCCAATATTAATATACTTAACAACACAAATAACGCACCATATCATACCATACATGTAGGAGTTTCATAATTTCTTGTTTTCACAACAAACTTGTAGCAATCTAGTATACATAATGATTGTACTTTAAGCTTAAATTTGAAATTAATTTCTAATTTTCAGAGAACTTTTCCTTTTAGTGACCATAATGTAGTTTTCAACATGTTCAACCACAATAGTCAAAATCAAAAATCTGAAATAATTCATTTCTAATTGGTCATTGAGCAAGATTTTGATTAAGATTTTGTTGTTTTCAAGTGAAAAGACACATGTGATTTTAGTTTTCACAAATGCAACATATTTTTGTATTTTTGGTTAAAAATGTTTTTTTTTTTTTTTGAGATGTCAAAAATGGAAATTAAGAAAATTCTCATTTTCACAGAATTTTGTGTTGATGACTTAAGAAGTATAATGTCAAAATTTTGACTCATTTCATTCGCTTTTGAAAAAGTTATATTCAATAGAAAGTTGAACTCCATAGAAATTAACGGAGGTGGTGCGTTTCTTTTGTTGATGATCATATATTACTAATATATTTTTATTTATGAAATCTAACATTAAAGTCCTGTTTGTTTTATGTAATATTCATACAAGAGAATTGTTTTTGATAAAGACACGATTGTATTTAATGAAAAACACTGTCAGTTTGAATACACCGTCGAAAATCCATCATCTGAATAAAAATAATAGAAAATAACAGTTGAATTTTCAGAATTTGTTTGTCACGATAAGATTGAACCAGTTCTGTTATAAGTAGTTCATTAACATGTGGTCAAATTAATGATCACTTGCAACAATGATCACGTGCATTGATAGAACGTCTGTCAATCGACTAAGTAAAGGAAAGGAAAAGTTCGTAGACAAAATTTCCTTGAAGTTGTGATTTTACTTCGCGTGGTTTTTATTTGATGATGAACTTTCTGTGGTATTTTATACTGCATATAAGTGCGTTTAACATGCGACGGTTCTGAGCAACAATAGCTTACGACTTGACTTTCAGAATTCAGGTGAATATTTACGATATCAACATGGCAGGCACACTAGAACATAACTAACTTAAAGAGTCTATTTTCCTCGAATGTGACCTACCGAATTAGACTTATCACCGGATTTGTACTTACATGAGCAACACGGGTGCCACATGTTGAGCAGGATCAGCTTACCCTTCCGAAACACCTGTAAATTATGATGTACATTTAAAACATGAAAGTTAAAAGTAATATATAGACGTTTCAACCAATTTCTAATGGACAAAAAACTATTTGTTACACAAGTTGTTAGATTATCAAAAGGTTAAACTGTTATAAAAAGATGAGGAAATATTTACGGATTATATACATAACGCACAGATAAATTTGCTCTTTTCATTGACTCTCAGGAGGGACATGGATTGTCATAGCCAATGGATCCATTGGCTATGACAATCCATGTCCCTCCTAAGAAAACAATTCGTACAAAAGAAGCAAAAGATACCAAAGGGGTATTCAAACTCGATACGTCGAAAACATAACTGACAATGCCATGACAAAAAACGGAAAGACGATAAAAGGACAAACAGTATTCAAAACACATAGAATACTAAAGACTGAGAAACACGAACACCACCAAAAACCGAGCATGAACTTGGGTGCTCTGAAAGGGTAGGCAAATCGTGCTCCAGATATGGAACCCGTCTTGTTGCTCATGAAAGTACAAACCCGATGATAGATCTAATTCGGTAGTTCACATTCTAGGAAAATATGACGGGATTGGGGTTAAAATTGGAACATATCCGTCTCAACAGATATTATCAACTCGTAATGGCATTTAAAATTTTCAAAGGCAAGATTTTGCTTCACCACTTTAAACTCTTGGTTAAATAACTTCCTTGTACAGTAACCTTCTATCTAGAAATCGTGATATGAAACTCAAGCTCTGGAATATCGTATTAACTGGGAGATATATAAGTCCATATGCAGGCGCTAATGAATTATGCTACATAGAAATGGAAAATTCAAAATTGTGAAGTTGACAGCATCTTGAGTGTCGCAAAGTTTTGATCTTAACCGACTCTCATTGTCAATTTCTAGATTATAGTCAAGATATGAGGCAGACTTAATAGTATCTGTTGTATCCTCTATTTCAAGTTCGATAAGAAAAATACTGCAATCAATTATATCCATTCGAATTCGTTTTTCTGCAATTATATGATTATAAATATAAGTTTCACACCACGATCCCAATTTAGGGGAGTGTTGGGCGTCCGTCTATATTTCCAGTACGTACAGTGGATAATATGAAGAAAGAGAGAGAGAAAGAGAATTTGTAACAGACTATATACGATGAAAACGAGTCAAGCATTGATTGACTCTCTCGATAGAGATAGATGTGTAACCCCAAAAAAGATACCCTATCACCGTACGAGTCTGTCATCAAATGGTAGACAGCTTGCCTTTTTTAAGGACTCCTACAGGTTGACCATGGTACCAGAAAAAGAGGTAACGTTAGTCATGTCCTCGAGTATGCATCGTACCATATACATCATAAATCCATACGGTATGAAAATAAGATTATGTGTTATGATTGTCAATGAAACAACCAGAGACCAAATGACGTAGAAATTAGCTACTACTGGTCACCGTACGCCTGTCAGTATAGGGAGGGGGTATTTAGTATGTCACATAGCCCATACATAGTATTGCCGATTGGCCTCATTGAGGATGAAACGTAAAAAATGTCACACTAAGGGAACGACCATTTAACTTCGTAGAGGGGGGATAGGTTGTTATGGTTTTTTCTTAACAAACATATTCTCTGGTCCCCAACTTAATGAAAACAAATATTCTGGTCAAGCAGATGACAAAAATAAATATTCTGAATCCAGATTTTCCCCCATACCTCATAGTGTTAAATATTGAAAAAAATAATTTGATTGATAGCGTTGAAAAAACTCAGACAAAATCCATACCCTCCCACACCTTTTGAAGTTAAATGATTGCTCCCTAAATTGATTGTCTGTTACTGTTCCAATTCAAGTTATTTTAATCATGTCAACATTTTTAAAATTTCTTGAAACAAGCCGCATGGGTCAAATTATACAATTATAGTCATTTGGACTTTTATTCAGTTTGTGAGTTAATCGCCCCAGTTTACACATCAATAACCTCTAGAAAAAATGTGTTTAATCCTATAAAATAACAACAATCTATTACTAATTATATTGCATGCAATTTTGATTAGCTGACAACCACCGAGAAACACTCCAATATCATATTTTATTGCCGTATAAAATACAATTTTGTTATAATAATTAACAGCTATATGACTGCATGCGCTACCCGTGACAATGTTAGAACTATTCACAGAAAAAAATAAAGAAAAGCTTGACTGTAACTCTTAAGGTGGTACCAAACACCTTGACTAAAATTAATTTGGCTCGTTTAATTTTCATAAAATTTTGACAAAATATTTACTTTGACGCTTTGACAAAAATATAAAAATTTCAAAAAACTTTCATTGGATATATAGCAGTTTGACAAACACTACTTTTGATCATTGAGAGGCTTAATATTTCCTTAACAATAGAACTTGATTAAAACGTTCGGCTGATGTTTACAGAGTTATCTCCCTGTAGTGTTATGTACCACCTTATTCCATGGTTGTAGCATACAAATGTACAAAATGTAATTATAAGTATTGAATGATTCTTTTTATTATTTTACAGGATTGTAAAAGCGTTGGTCGCGCGAACATTTTTCATGATTATGCAGCGCTTCGCTTCCGCGCTTCATAAAAAATATGTTTCGGTCAACACTTTTACATCCCAATAACATTATAAAAAGAAACATTCAATACTTAATTAAATTTCAAATTCAAAGTAGGAAACTATGACGTCTTGTATATAACAACCATCCGGCGTATCTAATAAAGTGCACAATTGATCAATCGTCTCCGTGAAGGGTAATATAGAAACGGGTAGAGTAAAATTATCACTCTCGGATTAACCAATCAAATCTGGCATTTTAACATGAAGTATAATACATTTCATTATTTTACAGAATCAGGAGCAGGCAAGTATACACTTCAATATATGACAATAAAAATGTTAAAAGTGATAACCTTTTTTATTCTTTATTTTTTTTTTAAATTGTAGTTTAATCGACAGCAGTTTTATAAGATGACGTTGAAGCAAAAGTTAGTTTATGAAATTTTTTCCCGAAAGACAAACATATATTTTCTATAAGACACAAATCCTTCGGTATGTTAATGATTTGCTGTTTCATAACTTGGCTTTTTACAAAGTAATGGGCTGTTGGGCAGGTGATACCATCGGGGACACAAACAGTTCACAAGCAAAGATACAGACCCGAAGGAAATTATAATTGTATTGAATGGTACCGATTTTTCTG